TACTGCTCGGAGTAGCTGCGCCATTCTTTGGATAAGCAGGTCTATCAAGTCCAACTTGCAAAAGTACCTGGCTTGAGTGAAGCGAATTTACCTACAAATGAAATTTCTTCCCGCGTCTTAACTTTTATCAATCATGTATCCATGAAAGACGCAGGCTCTGCAATTTCCAGTTGTTTACGATTAGAAAACTGTCGCAGCGCCGCATGCGGCGCTGCCCACTACTGCCGTACGATACTGCCTACCGCGAGACGACTGCCCGTCGTACAGTATTGAGACACGACCCCTAATGGGTCGCGCACCTAGAGGAATCAAGCCACTATCTGCTAAATTCCCTTCCACTTAAATCCTCGCTTTGTAGCAGAAATCCTTCATAGCGATGCCAACGCTGCAGGCGTGAATAGCACGTAAGGCCTTGATGGACGGACGAAGTCGCAGCATCGAGTATCTAATTTTACAATCCGGTTATCCCTACCTTACACTACCGATTTCCGTAACCTAGGTGAAGCTTTCTTCAAAATATGTGGTCATGTTCAAGACTTGCCCATGGGTGGCGGGCTTGATGTACTTGACATTGGCAGTAAATGTATTGAACGTCAACAGGGCGGCTTTCACAGACGCCAATCTTTATTCTCAAGCTACGATCATTTTCAGACGAGATCAGGTTCAATCTTATCTTACTATCTAAAAGTCGAGGAACAGGCGACAAACGCCACCAAACCACAACGTGCTAGACTAATTATCCCACGTCCTTTCGTAATTTTACGGAATGGTATCAAAAGAACACAGGGACAAAAGCAGGTCCAACAGGCTTTCGGTCTTTTTGTGAAAGAGCCAGCTGCCTTTGAGTTGTGAAGTCGTCAGATAATTTGGAAGCCTATCACAGAAGGAGTCTCAGGTAGAAGAGCTGATATCGGACAAGACTCTATCCGGGTGTTTAATAACGGATTGTCTAAACGTGGTAGTGTTCGCATTGAGAATGTTTGTCGCAGGAACGACGCCATCAGTTGTGAGCAGCAGATGATGCCTGATCTTTTACGAGAACATTGATTCACAGGGTGCTCATTTTCCTCCCAAATGCCTGGGTGTCGTCAAAGCGGGCACAACCACGCAAAGCGTCCGCTCTACTTCTCAGAGTTGATGCAGCTGGGAAAGCCTGCGGGTTGCTTCGCTGAGCAACTGCATCGGGATCCCTGGAATCACTTTTTGTTGGACAGGAATGCTTCATAAACGATTTCGCCAGGGTTTCCGGGTCGACCTGCAGGCTGCGGCATATGTTGAGGGGATCTTGGGTCTCACTTTATGGGCAATTGTCCTCAACGATCAATCCAGACTTGGAGAACAATCTGCGACTGAACTAGTTGAGAATGCCAGAATAATCTCCTTTCATGAGCACAGCGAGTTCGAGGAAAGCCTCTGGTAGCCCCTCAATGTTCGATGGGAATCGAGTATTGCGATCATTCAGTTTGAAGAGCAAGAGAAACTCCCCCTCTTAGATCTGTGGCTGAGTTCCTCAGACAATAAGAAATCTCCAACCTAGACCGCTTTGGAGAAGGAGAAGTCGAACGACACAAGTGGTCAAACAAGCCGTGCATTCAAGCCTAGAGAAGTTTTTCGACTTTGGGGTTGGTGCACTTTCATAGAGCATCTCATGAAGGCAAACGCCCAGGATCGCCAAGTCGATGCCATGTCAGCTAAAATCAAATTCATTCGTACAAAAAGCTCACTCGTCGATATCTGCGCTCAAAAGCTTCTCACCTGTCTGCTTCTCGGGCTCAAGGATGCATTGATGAGAAGCCCTTTCCCAAACGAATTCAACAATGCCAAATCAACTATGAACCGTGTCTATCGGAATTTGAGGATGGAAAGTTCTTTGGTCACGAAAGTGGTGGATATGTTCGTAGACACCGGTCTGGGAACACATACAGAGGCTTTGCTCTGCGTGGTTCCCGCGTTGAGGAGTCAATTCCCTACTGATACCCTTGAGCTCAAGGCTTTGGGTGTCCTTGCATTGAACGGAAGTAGATAATCAGGCGTGGAGCTCGAATTTGTAAGTGCGAGTATTGAGTCTCGTTGAACACTCGTTCAATCGGCCCCTTCCCACGGCTCCTATATGATGGTCTACAATTACTTCAACCTACACAACAACATAGATCCCAACTGTTGATGTTCTCACATTTGTACGAGCAACGCAAGTCTATTATAAGCTACAGAGCCGAGATCAAAACTATACTTGAAGACTACAACGAATTCCTCGACCAGTTCAAGATTTTGGACCAACAAGCCGTCTTTCATGGAAAAGCCGTGCATTCTACCCTTGACGCTACCAAACTAGTAGTCTCTCTGGAGTCGAACAATCTGTATAGCGTAATGTGTTTTCTGGCGAAAGCAACCACAGCCGAGTTTGGGGCAGAAAAGAGCTTGCCATCTTCAAAGGAGATGTCTAAGGCTTTGATAGTAGCTGCGAGGCAAGGTTCAGTCGGCGTGCTTTGCATCCTAATGAATCTTGGCCTCGATCCGAACCAGGCTGGGGACGGAGCTAAATCAACTCTTGATGTCTGTCTCGAACATGGTTACGAAGTCTGCGCACGAGTTCTGATCAGCTTTGGAGCTTCCGTACGCATGCCAGGGGATCAGGGACTGGTCCTTTTAAATGCGGCTATTCGAAGGGACCAAACGGCTCAAGTCGACCTGTTGTTAGAGATGTTGAACATTCGACCTTATGACTACATGATAGCAATAGGGTAAGCCTGGCACTGTTGGAGAATTTCTGATCGACATTCATACATCCTCTCAAAGCTTATCAAGCGTGGGTCCAACATCGGAGTCAGTCCAGCAACGATTTTCTCTGGAGAGTCCTATAATCCAGGCTGTTCTCTCGTCCACGAGAGTGGGTTTTTTGTTACTGTCTTAAGATGGAGGAGGAGGTCATCGCCATGTATGGGCATCATCTAATGCTTTGGGCACTGCATAGCTGGAGAGGAATGGACTAGTCCACAGCCCGACGGTTGGTTCGAGCTGGTGTACGGCCTGACCAACCACTTGCGACCCCTTGTAGTAACACGGCACTTCACCTTACTGTCAAATGGCCGGCTACCCTGGAATCCTTATCTCGGACGACAACATACATCCCAATACTGAAGTGAAGAACGGTACAGGCCATACGCCCTTATGCAAGGCTGTTTGCGAAGACCAGTATGAATCAACGACCCTGCTTCTGGAAAGAGGGGCTTCCCCGGAACTCATCGGCCGTGGACAGAGGCCCATGGACTATGCGATTCACAACCAGGATGTTGAGACTTCTTTGGGATCATGGTGCAAGCATCAAGTCTGTTAATAGCAGGTGCCAGTAAAGGGTGGTGAAAGCGACAAGCCCGGGGGAGGTGGAAAAGTTGTTGAGTTCAGGGAAGCAGAACAACAACCCGAGTTGAGTCGGGAAGCTCATAGGAGTTGATGATCTCCAGACCAGAGTACCTGACGTATATTGACAGGGCATGGATGCAGTTGAGGAATATGGGAAAAGGAGTTCTTAAGCTGAAGGGACGTCCATGCCGGTGGACGGTGTTGTCATGATCTCAGGGATGCTGCTGGTGTAGGAATGGGGTTGTCGGTTCCTTTATCATTGAAGCAACGGATGTAGGCGCTATATAAGTCGCTGGATCAAAGCCAAGTTGCTGCTGGGGTCAAGCTGGCGGCTATGTAAGGGCGATGCGATGGGGTCTTGATACAATTGTCCTTCAGTTTCGTTTGAATCTCGGCCAGCAACAATCACGTACACGGTGAATACGAGTCTGTATGCTTATCATTCTATTCGACTGCTCCTCAATTCTATCCTTGGTGAACCGTGAAGTAGTTCGCACCGCATGAAAATCGCATACTTAACTAAATACCTGTGCTATCTGTTGAAATTTCATTCACTGCGGAAAAGCGACCTCGACTATACCGATAAGTCTCAGTTTTCTCTCCTGCGGAACGCGATATGCTGTCATATCCTTGCCGCACATAGCAGGCCGCAGTATTGACAAAGACTCATCCATCAGAAGCAAGATTCCAGACCACACCTGCAGAATATCCACTTGAAGCTTAGAAGACGGAAGCCTCCATGTTACGAGCCGATTTCCCTTTCCAGTCAAGATGGCAAACTAAATGAACGAATTAATGGACCACTATGCTGCCATATCGTCATCATCTCACGGACGTCCTGCGTCCTTGTGGACGAGTCTCTATCGTTGAAACAATAGTCGCTGACGCGGATTCAATGGCTTGCTTTTTATTGATGAAGAGCGGCAAGCATCTGTTCCGACTTTTCCGACCAGTTCCTACCAGAGCTGTCCACAGCCTGTCAAATGCAAGCCGAAACAAAACAGCCAGGCCAACAGGTGGCCAGGCGCCGTGGTGGAAGACCGAATGTGTCGTTGTCTGTTGTTCAGAGCGGGTCAGGGGTGAAGGCGCCAACGGGGGTCGCCAAGCTTTGTGTCAAGGAAAGGGCAGAGTGTGCCCAGCCGGCCGCGAGCGAGAGATGGATTGAAATGCTGGACTGGTTGACTGGAGCTACCCAACACACTGGGCCCTCAGCCGGGCCAGGATGGGAGCAGCCAGGACGTTTGTGAATGGCAATGGTTTTCGTGGCCGGGGGAAGCCGAGGTACTCCGTAGGGTACCGATGACTCGTCCGTGCCGGTGGTCCGGTATCCCTGACCCACCCCCGTCGCAGATATATCGGTAAAGTGGCCGTCCCTTCCGCTTGGGTGTAGATACTCGAGTCATCATTCCAGCAGCCAATGGTTTACTTCACTTCGGACGGCCGAGATATTCGCATGTTCTCGGGCAGTCTTTGGGCACCTTGCTAGGTAGATCAGCTTGTATTGGAAAGATTCGTCTTAAAAGAGTGTGATAATTCGCACTAGCCCAAACTGCGCCCTCAATATCCCCAAGAAAACATGCTTAAACGAAGGGGGGAGAAAATCGAATAGTCAAAAACGTAAATTACACAGCCTCCCGCGGCTAATGGAAACGAGTCTTGCCATACTTGTCAATATGAGGCCTCTCACCAGCAAGGCAAGTAACCCAGCCGTCCAACTGCTGCTCGGTATCCATGCCATTAGGCCACTCGTTCTCCATCTCCTCTCTCTTCTTGGTCTTGGGCTTGCCATCCCTCACACGAAGCTTCTCAAAAAAGACATAGGCCGCATAAAAGACACTGCTGGTGTTGCCAGACGCGGGTCCCTTCTTGTTCATGAAATTGGTGAGCAAGTTGGGAGCAATCTTGTGGTCCGATCCAGCGGGGTACGCGGCCTTGACGATGGCGCGTAGGAAGGCTGCCTTTGTGACACCTTCTTTTTGAAGGATGGCGCGGATCTTGGTGCGGACTATGTCGCAGGTGTCGAAGACGGGGACTTTCATCTCACCGTCACCCGGGAGCTGGATTTCAGAGAGGTCCGGGAGGGGACCCTGCTTGTCAGCAGCCTTCTTGGTTGCCTGCTTCTTGGGAGCTGGCGCAGCGGCGCCGGTGTCACCATCACCGTCGGCAGCGGCGTCCGACTTGCGCTTGCGGGACTTTGGCGCCGGCTTCTCGGCGGGCTGGACGTGTCACGGTGTCAGCTTTGGGAGCTGTGTCACGGCATTGGCTTCTGAAGGCGATAGAAAAGAGAATCCTGGCATCCGACTCGTGACAGACGATAATCATGGGACGGCATAATGAGACACATATTCTTTCAAGAATGTCGAGATATCTGCGCGATTGCGTACCTTTGCGGCCGTGTTTTGGCCCACGACGCGGTTCGCGTCAGCCTCACCCAACGGGCTGGGCGCGGCGGCAGTGGCTTTCTTGGGCGGCATTATCAAGAATGTTGCGAAATACGGAGACGGACACGGCTCCGGTGAAGTGGACGGAAGAGGTCTCCGAGTCGGACGATGTTTGCTAGGTAAATGGTAACAATTACGGCGCCTCTCTAAGTGTCTGAAGGAAGTGGTTCTATCCCTGTGTGGAAGCTTCTACCCAAAAAAGCTGCCTACGTAAGAGACGCGTCGGGTGGGACGGTGTCGGTAAGTGGCCGGCAGGGGCCCCCAAAAGTCACGGTAGGTGGGAGGGACGGGGCCTGGAGGGGGAAAGAAGATTGATGGAAGCATAACGTCATCGGATAAACAGCACGGGACGAGACATGGGAGCACGGAGATATTGATCCATTTGCACTTTAGACAGATTGGCAGGAAGAGGTGAGACAGGGAAGTACCTCCTTTTTCGATCCAATATCCGTCCCATCAGAGGAGAATTAGGAAAGAATTGGCAAAAGGCTCGAAAAATTGGGAATGGGCAAGAAGCACGGGCCAGATCAAGCGAGGGTCTCGGAAGGCAGAAGCTGGCGATGCCGTGCAGGACACTTGGAAGGAACAATCAAAATAAATTGAACAGAGGAGAAAAGGAAGGAAGGAAGGGACATTTTTGGCCCATGGCTGCCAAGAATTGATGATGGGTGGATCCATTGAGGAGGGAAATCCACTGACCGAGATCCATGGATTCATCTAGCTCCACCCCTGTGGCGGTACGTACCCACGAGAACGTGGAGTGGAAGGAGGTGGAAGTGGAGGTTGCAGTTTCAGGCCGCGCGAATTTGGGTCTCCGGGAAGGCACATGGATGGCTATCATTGATTTCGACAAGCAACGATTTGTTTGCTGGCAGGAAGGAACTTCCTCCATCATCAATGGCTGTTTCTCAGAAGAGGCGCGGGTGAGATGAGCCCTGGTTGGGCCATCCGAACTTGCGCTCAGCGGCAGGAGCCCATGCGGTCATGCTTTCACGCAACTGCGTACCCGGCGTGCCTGCTGCGTGCCCCTGGAGCCTCTGCGGACATGACGGACCAGAAGAGGAGGAGCCCTGCAACACTATTGGTCACTCCTTCTCGTCGAGTTCGGAAGTCCCTTGGGATCCAGATGAGTCAGCAGTGGGAGTCCGAAGAAAAGTCGAGAATGGGAAAAAAGAGGGTTTTGGTCCAGGCACAGAGTTGCGGCTGCACCCTGCGGGAACCAGGAGGCGACGATCACCAAGAAAACAGACTCCTCTTCCGGCTGCACCCCTGACCAGACCGAGTTCATCGACCAGCAGCAATGAGCATGGCATGGCTGCATGGCCAGCATCACCCCTTGATGACACCCTGCGCTGCACTGCAGGCACACATCAAGAAGACAGAATTTTTACTCGCCTGAACCCCGTCGAGCACAGATCGAGACCTTTCACAAAGTTGCAAATAGATTGCTGTCCCGAAGCCCAACGACATGCGCTCACCACCTAGTGTAGAGTCCCAGACTCTCCCTGTCATCCAGACCTGCGCTGTCGAAACTTGGCGGCAGTTGACCCTTTCCTTTCCACTTGTTCATTTCGATTCTCGGCTTTTCCACCATTTTTATCGTCGAGATTCTCACCGCTCGCACAAGCGCCCACCGGCAGTTCCACTGGGCCCCGTGAAGTTCGAACCAGAAAGGCAATGGCTACGGGGGCAAATGGCCTGTCGCCCGTTATTGATACGAAGCTTGCATACAAATCCGTATCGAGGCTGATCAGCTCCCAAATGGAGCTTGAGGCCAGTCAGGCTCCACGACCAGATCCGCTGCTTCGAGAATAGATACCAGGGGGCTTGACGATGTTCACAGTTCGGCTCCGTCGTCCAAGATTCCCAAGTCGGAGTTCAAGTGGGAAGCCAGACATTGGATTGAGGACTCGAGATGAGAACCAAGCATCGCCAAGCCTGCCATGCTTGCTTGTTGTGAACAGCTGGATATGCTGGATCACCCATCAAGCAAGGCGTCAAGCCCTAAGAATTACGGCCTGCATCCCTCCTCGCCTCATCACAGACGTGCCAACCCGTTTCCTCCACCGCTATCCACCCCAGTTTGCTTCTTTACCCGCTTCGACTCGTCATCCCTCCAGGGCTTCAATCTCCAAGTCTCCAGTCAATCGGGTATCGGCTCACACTGGAACTCGTCCAGACCTGGCCTGCATGTGTCCAGTAAGCCAGCCAGCCGAGGGTCACTCGCTGTTGCCAGCCAAGCACTGCCCTGCTGCCAGTATCAGCGGCAGAAGCAAACTCGACAAGCCAGCACTGACCACCCACCTCCCCTTTCCAACGCTCAGACGAACTGCCATCCCGTCGCCCTCAATCTCATTTCTTCTCCTCACTGCCACTTATGCTTACTGCAAGCTTGGCTTAACCTTTGCTGACTGACCCAATATGATGTGGGCGGAAGTGCGCTTCGGCTCACTGACTCCGAACTAACATGCTAATCCACGATTTAATGCCTCTGTCAATCCCAAGAAGGCTTGCCGGTCCCTAAGCTTAACCTTGGGTGGATCATTCACAGATCTTCACAGCAGATGCTACTATGATTTTCGATGTCGCTCATATGCCACCTTAGAACCAACAGACAGATCTTACCACTCTCGACAAGCGAGCAACAAGATGCCCGCCATAATTGCGCTGCTTTGGCGCCTCAGATCTGTTTACCGCGCCGCCAGCGGCCAACGTGCACTAGGTCACCTTGCTTCAACCCTGCACTACGGGATACAACAAGTCACCACCTTCATTTATGCTGAAACGGCTTGATCTCGCCATGGCTGCTCGGCATGGCCACCACCCCCGCTTGTTTCCCGCCTTTCCACCTATGGGCACGTTTCCAGCCGCGATGGCCTCGCTTCGGCTTCTGCTTGCGGTTCTAGATCCCGGGATAACAACGGGGGGTAGACGCCGGCCCCACGACCCCCTTCCTTTTCGATGCAGGGTGGGCGCCTCCTGCTTCAACGTCGAACCCCCCCCGCCTTACGATTCCACTCGATCACATTCACAACCCATTCGCAATCAACTTGTGCCTGGCCAACGCAGCCTGGACACCGCCCGGCCATGGATTTGCACAGGGACTCCTTGGACATGACCCCTGGCTCTGCTCCGTGAGGGACGGAGACGGGGCCGCAGTGGTCCTAGCATGGCTTACATGGGATGAGAATCGATACTGTCTCCTGATGGGCGTGGTCGAAATTGCTTGCATCCACGCAACGCAGGTATGCGCCACCACCCACGATCATGAGCGCTACTCTGGGCTATCTCGAGATATAAGGTCCTCTTCTCTTCGTTCACATCGTCTGCTCCTACTCTTTTTCTCCTCATCCAACAGGCTCATTCCCGCAGCTTTCCATTCCCACACTCTTTTCCGCTTTTCAGCACATTTCTTTCATTTGAACACTTCATTGATTGAAGTTCACTATCTTTACGACTTGAAGTCAATATCCACTCTTTCCACGAACGAAAACTACATCCAACAACACCAAACTCAACACTTTTGGAAAATCTGCAAAAATGCCTTCCTTCAAGAACTCCGCTGTCCTTTCCGCCATTGCCGGCGCCGCCTCTGTCATGGCCCACGGTCACGTCAACTACTTCACCGATGGCTCTGAGCAGTTCGCCGGTTACGACGTCACCTCGCTCCCTTACATGAGCAGCCCCCCCGACGTGTAAGTGGGACACCATGTGATTCAAAGCAACTTTGACATTGACAATATTGTAGCTACGGCTGGAAGAACACCGCCACTGACAACGGCTTCGTCGACCCCTCCTCCTACGCCGCTGCCGACATCATCTGCCACAAGAACTCCGAGAACGCCAAGCTCACCGCAAAGGTCGCCGCTGGTGACAAGCTCCAGATCTTCTGGAACACCTGGCCCGAGTCTCACAAGGGTCCCGTTATCGACTACCTCGCCTCTTGCGGCACTGACTGCTCTACCGTCGACAAGACCTCCCTCGAGTTCTTCAAGATCGCTGAGGCCGGTCTCGTTGACGCCTCTGCCAACAAGTGGGCTTCCGATGAGCTCATTGCTGCCAACAACTCCTGGGCTGTCACCATCCCCACTTCCCTGAAGCCCGGCAACTACGTTCTCCGTCACGAGATCATTGCCCTTCACTCCGCTGGCCAGGAGAACGGTGCCCAGAACTACCCCCAGTGCCTCAACATTGAGGTTACCGGCTCCGGCTCTGACCTTCCCGCTGGTACCAAGGGTGAGGCCCTCTACAAGGCCACCGACGCCGGTATCCTCATCTCCATCTACAACTCCCTGACCAGCTACTCCATCCCTGGCCCTGCCCTTCCCTCCGTCTTCGGTGGCTCCGGCTCCGGCTCCGGCTCTGCTTCCTCCGCCGCTCCCGCCGCCACCGCCACCTCTGCCGCCGCCGCTTCTTCCACCGCCCCCGCCGTCACCTCTGCTGCCGCTGCCACCACCACCGCTGCTGCTGAGGCCGTCGCTACCTCCGCCCCTGCCTCCAGCTCCGTCTCTGCCCAGCAGCCTGCCGCCACTGGCAAGCCCTCCTGCGCCGAGAAGCGCAAGCGCAGCCTGGCCCGCCGCATGGCCCGCCAGCACGCCCGTGACGTCGTCCGCCGCGTTTAAATTTCGCGTCTCAACTGAGAGCGAGAGGCGAGGACTCACTTCGAGCCAACTCCGAGCCGCTTTGGCGAAAGAGGGTAGCTCAACCCACTAGGCTCATGAAGACATGATTGCTTTGTTGGACTTTTTCACTTGTATATACTATAACGACACTTGTTGGTTTTCGTGTACAACACCGACGTGGATCTTGGACAAAAAGACTTCTACCTTTACTACCTAGCTACGTACGGCCGTGCCGGAGTATACTAGACGAATGGAAAGGGCGGACTAGAATGGTCCTGCTTATACACTTCACTTAATCATTGCTCGCCTATGTGACTGAATTTGTTCTGTGCTTGAATCGCGATGAAGAGTTCCTAATGTCAGTGTTGGGATTGCGCTTCGACTCCTTCCTGAATGCAGTTTAATTCGCCT